GAACACGTACCGCATTATTTGTAATAGGTACATTCTTCACAATCTTTGTTTCTTTTATACCGACGACACCCTACTGATTATTCAGTATTCTGTGCAATATACCCTTGACCCGTTAGGCTACAATTTGCATTGTTATTTGTTACCTTTTTGATAAATGTTAATTTTAAAACACTTATAGAGATTTTTACTAGCTCAGTGAAATTTATTATCAAACGTTACTTACCTTTAAAAATTAAACAAAAATAAATGAGCACTTCTTTTTCTCTGTCGTGAATTCGGCTTTTCAAATAGACAATTTTAAGGGTAGTAATCTTTCTAGGAAATGTTGGGCACCAATAATTCTCTTTTTTTATTTTTAAAAGCTAGTGAGAATTATAAATTCTAGCTTTATCAATTAAAAGAAGTTAATAAAAATTATACAGAATTTAGTGGATGAAAGAGAATTTTTGTGACCTTTAAAAAATAAGATTCAACATATATACTTATAAAAATCAATGATTTTATTAAAAAAAGAAACCTTTTCGAAAACAATTATTTACAGTAAACCAGTATCAAATTGTGATTCGTACATAAATAACTAGTCACTAGTATTTACCACTTTTTACATTGTTAGCTAACCATCCTTAATTAGCCATAGGTAGTCGAGATTTCTTCCTTCGAAAACCAACGCCTTCGAAATATAGCTGTCGCTTGTCCAAATCAACGAGTTTTTATAAGATCCTCGAAAACCAACGTTCTGATTACAGCTGTTGTGTAGATTTACGGCTTGTGACGATATGGCTGGTTTTTTATGTCTTATGGCTTATGTCATATGGCTTATGGCTTACAGCTTATGGCTTACAGCTAATGGCTTACAGCTGATTCTATTCGTTTGCTAGACAAAAATAGATTTTGTTTTTCACGTGGTTCTGTACGATATATAAATTTGAAATATCTACTTTTTTTAAAAAAATGAACCAATCAGATAATAAAAACTAGTGACTATACATATTGTGCCGTTCTAGCAACCAGAATGAATCATAAAAATATATTTTAGTATTTAAAAAGACTAATAATTAACAAAAGGTTTGAATAATATTTCTACTGAGATGTTTAATAAAGACATTATATACTTTTTTTGCTTACCACTTGAACAGCCGATATACCACCAAAACAATTGAAAGGTAACGATAAAATGAAATTTACGAATCTAATTTGAGATAGTTTGGTTAGTGGCACTCCCACTTCAAGAAATTTCCCTTTCTTCAGAATATTGTGTGTTGGCGATAATTAAATTATACCGGATGGCACACATTTAAAATAACATTTTATAATTAGACTTTTAAAATGTTACCGGTATTTATTTATGTTCTTCATTTTTACAGCATTAACGCCGATCTACCAGATTACTCGCTTTATCAGTCGAAGTGTAAAAGTAAACTTTAGTTAAGGTAATGTACCTCATAAAACATCAACGCTGAATTTGATCAAGCTGTTTTTAATTAAGCCATATACCTTCGCCTTGCAACCAATCACTGCAATCGCGTTGGTCGAAGTAATACTAAGAATGTGATAAGTGAAGCTTTTGAAATATGTAAAATAATAAGTTTGGTATTGTGAAAATTTACTAGTTCTCTTGGTCTGATAACCAGTGCTTTCTTTAGCAGTGGCATGTGTACATTTATAAAATATTTTAAATCTGAAATACTCGTAAATGAAAAGTATTAGTCAGAATTTCGACTATTGCTTGTCAAATTTTTAATAAACTGTAAATTAATAAAGCAACTGGCAATTTTACTTAATAATAAATATATTTGTGATTATCAATTTCAATTTTCAATATTCCACAATTCTGAATCCCACTCGTCAGATGATTCTGTATTTTACGACCTTTAGATGGGGTCTTATGTTCCTTTTTCAATAATTATTCTGTATAAAGTGTAATTTTACATACCAGAATAAGTGTAATAATTAAATACTAATTTTTAAGAATGGTCGTTTATAAAACTAACTTTTTTTACTCTTTAAATGATTTTAGATATAAATTGTACTTACCAAAATACACACAAAATTAAATAGTCGAAAAACTAAGAAATAAACGTTTCTTTGGATCAAATCGAAACATTAAACACAAGGAAATAACAATGAAAAGAAATGCAATAAGTAAAACGCTTACTACGCTACTGAATGCAACTGCAACTGTGCAATATTATAAATAAGACGCTGGGAGTTCTGTGACCACGCCTAAGTTACTGAGTCACGAATCAACGAAACGTTGCTATCTTGTCAAAGTCATCTGTCGAAACAGCCATCCCAGCAAAAATTTTTGATATTATTAGCTATAACTCGACTTGGTAAAAGTCAAATCTACTTATTGAGGTAATTATTACGTAAAATTGACTAGAAAAATATACCTGTACTTTAAATTTACCATATGGTTCTAATTTAGGTATAAATTTACGTAAATTATACCAAGAAATCTACCTCGTACACATAACTGCTTAAAAGTAACTTTAACCAAATCAGAAAGGGAAAAACTACTAACAAAAATAACCAAAAATTACCTCAAAGGTAAATTTCCTTTAAAGTAAAATTAGGTATCATAATTAGGTAGCATCTACCTGTTTGGCAACTAAAAATCGTCTTTAAAGTAGAATATCCTACTAGGTAGACTTAGTTAAAAATTCTACGTAATTTTATGCCTCCATAATAACCTATTTGGCCGCTTTTATTTACTCTCCTTTAAAGTAATATTAGGTCGAGATCGTAGCAAAATTCTACCTGTTTATCTACCTAATTTCAACCAAATAGTCGAATACTCATTTAGTTACCTATAAGTCATCTTGAAGAAATATTTATTAACTTTGTTGTAGCAATTACCTGAAAAATCTACCACAAAGTAAATTCGACTAAAAACCACCAATTTAAAAAGAGTCATACATGACCTATTTGTAAAAATTATATTATTTAGGTTATTTTAACAATTAGGTTGTTCAGTTACTGTCTTCGTCATTATTCTTAAGAATTTCGGCCATTTAAAAAAAAAACCATTACAGTCGTAATCTTAATTTACGTGTGGTGTAGATAGAGCTTTAAATGAGTGCGAAAAATAATTAATAAAATGAGTTCGAAAAATAATAAATCATATCGTTATACTTCCGATTTTTATCGTAAAGTGAGACGTCTAAAATCTCAAGTGCAGAACAACGTGACCTAAATATGTTATATTTACCTATAGGTAAATTTTTTATAAAACCTATAACCCAGACAGCACACCAAATCCTTTGGATATCTACTGAACATCCCAATATCCACTGAATGTCCAGTCCATGGTAGATATATATTTTCTATCCATGAGATGTAATTTATAGACATGAAAATGTCCATAAATAATAGTAATTATATAGCAAATTAATAAAAAATTACGCCATTGTGGCTAATAGTACCATTCAGATATTTAAAATTATTTTTTTTTAGGGTGTATTCAATATCCCATGAACATCCACTAAATATATCAAAGTCTAGGCGCGAACGCAAACCATCGTGGATATCCACTAGATGTTATTTGATTCTGCTTACTAGTATAGATGGCGATACCACTATCGCATCTACTCATGCTCGACCCCCCGTAATAGAGTTCGATCGAAATTTTTGTCCATTAGAGACTGGAGTCGAGAATTTCCCTTTATTGCTGAAGAGTCCTAATAAGGATGACTTTCTCCTTAGTGGGCAAAATATTAAATACTAAATACTAAAGATACCCATAAAATATTTTGTTGAATATATCGGAATATCATCCATATCCTGGGATATAGACGGACATTTGGTTGTATATCCATATTGGATATATTAAATATCCCACAAAATATATTCTGTGGGATTTCTTGTATTTTCTGGAAGATACCCATTAGATATTTTGCTGAATATCCATTAGGATATCTTCTATATTCTGGATATAGACGGACATTTGGATATCCATATTAGATCCACGGAATATTTCTGATATCCTGTAGATATATTGGATATCCACAAAAGATATTCTGTGGATATCTCTGGGATTTGGTGTGTTGTCTGGGAAGTTATTATTTCTTTAAATAAGTAAAGTTAACTAATATGTCGTGAAATTGAAGTTAATTCAACTTAGTAAAAAGGTATTTGTAAAATACGTAGATTTCCTTAGTCATAATAACTTTTAGGTCGAATTCGCACAATACGCCATATTTTCTTAACGTAATTGAAGTACGATTCTAAATTTTAAATTTTTAAAATGACCATAACTAAAACCATTGTATTTCATGCTGAATCTAAAATTTAAAAAATATATAGAGTGTTCCCTTTAAAATAAAAAAGTTTTTTATGTTTAAAAAATTTTATTTTTAAAAATAATTTGCAAACACCCCGTACAACAAATAATGAATAACTAAATATTATCAAGAAGTACATCCCATCTACTACCTCTGGTTAAAATTTTAAGTATCTGATAGATATAGTACCTGAGATAGACGACTTTAAGAAAATGTCTACCGGCGACTAAAAATGTAGAAAAAAATTGAATAACGCCAAATCCGCTATAACTAGAATAGGCAAATGGGGTATCGTTGTTTACAGAATTTCATGCTGAATCTAAAATTAAAAAAAAATATGGGGTATTCCCTTTAAAATAACGAAGTTAGTGGTCACTTCCGGTATAACCGGAAGTTGCACAGAGTTCATTTTATTTTAATTCAAAAGAGAATATTCGATTATGTATACTCAGAAAATGGCGAAAATACAAATTAATTTATTCTCCATAAAGTTGTAATGCCCGCCTTACGTGGGACACGGTGTATATAGATAAGATAGGTTTAACTGGCCAATTTTTGACACCAGAATATCTGGTATAATTTATGATCTAACTTTTCATATACTTATTATAAGAATAGCAAAATAAAAATGTTACAAGATTTCCTGAAGATTATTTTATGTAGTATTAAAACGAAACAAAAATGATAATATAATTTACACAAATTATATTAATACCTTCTGCAAATAATCAAATACTTTTTATCTTCTTATCTATAAGAAAAAAAATTGACTTGTCGATTCAACGAAATGTAGTTGCCCTTATAATACAACAAAATCTGTTGGAGCTCGCTATGATCGAGATGAGGAAACAAAGTGGCCCTCCTGGATTACAAGAAGTTACATATGTGAGTAACAGAGAAGGAGAATTTAAACCACAAGCTGCAGACAAGAAACGGGACACTTTATTTCTTCATTTTTCAATAATATCCGGTAAGTTAATAATGTAAGGTATTAATTTATTCTATAGATGAAAATTTCAGTAAGTACGAGGCACAGGCGAGGGTCTAAAAGAAATTTCTAATAATTGTGTTTATTTGTTAATTTTTTGTAATTAAGAATATTCCTATATAGTTGTATATTCTGCAAATTTCTTTTGATGTTTGGCAACATTGCACAGTAGTAAAATAAAATCAAACAAAAGTGCACGAGTACATAATATACAATTTATATAAAAAAATTAGTAATACTGATATTTTGAACTTGAGAGTAATCTGAAAAAGTTTTTGAGAGTAAAGTGGTAAAGACCAGTTGGCAATCCTGCTCCCAACCCAACCCTCTGAATCCCAGATCAGCGCAGTTGCGACAGAGCTTTAAAAAAGTGAGCCACGCCCGAAAAAAAGCGGGAACTACACAGAAAATAAGTTATAAGTTATGGCTTTGGATTATGATACAAAAAGGCACATATTATAATACGCGCTGACTAATTTTGTTCTAAATATCTACAAGTATTAGATATTAAAAATTAAAAAAAACCGACTTCAAAAACGTGCATATGCCATCACAACATCTTAACCAAATTTATATGGGACCACCCCTGAGGTACCTCCTTTCTAACTAAAAAAGAATCATTGAAATCGGACATCGTGTTAAAAAATTATCGCTGAACATACATAAAAAAAAATGGCGACCTTTTTTGAAGTCGGTTAATAAATAAAATAGCCGACAGATGCTTAAAAGTTTAATTATTCACCAAAAAATTAAGCCATCCAATATTTACTAACCTCATTATTTTATTTTCACCTTCACTAAGACAGTTATCTCTTTCAATATTTGACACATCTAAAACCCATTGTTTTGATTATAATCATTGTTTAGACATTGAAAACTTAATTTTAAATAAATATATTCAATTGCGAATCTATCACAAAATCTCTGAATTTAAAGACCCCATAGAGAGATTCAGAAATGTTTTAACAATCAGTCCTACACTAATAAAAATGTTAACCTAATATGTGTGTCAGTCACCCTGATAGACCTCTGGATGTGAAACGTGTTTACCCAAATCCATACTCATTGTTTTGGGGGGGCTTTCTTTTTCTGGAATAGATAGGGTTAATAATAAGGTACGATAAAACTTAATATTATTGATTCTGGCTAAATGGGAAACATAAAAAAAAAGAATTTAATTTTGGAACTATACTTGTATTTAGTCTTTAGATTTATTTTAAAATAATTTCTCCCTTTTTTACTGGGCACAATGGGACACGGTCCTCTGCCTTTATTATAATAAAAATAATAATAATCGGTTCTCTTACTTCGATTTAAAAATGGAATGATTTACAACATATGCACTTTTATCAATGACTAGTTGGTGATGTCTTAGAGTACATATCTGTGGTGATGTGATATATTCTCCCTACTCGCTAGTTAGCTCGTACTATGCCAGATTTATAATTTTTGACAAACTGATTTTTTACTTTCCTTAAAAATATTGGCTTGTTTCTTAATCACAATTTCTTAAAAAATCTAATGACTAGAAACTATTTATTTATTTATTTACTTTTTTATTTTCAGTATGTTTAGTTGTTATGAGTGGCGCTTCATCACAAACATGGTCATCCCCAGTAATACCAAAACTCAAATCAAACGATACAAGTATCAATCCACTTATAGAACCAGCGACCACTTTGCAGATATCAATAATGATGGGATTACCATCTTTAACCAGTCTTTTTGGAACCTTTTTAGCTCCGTTTTTATCTGATATGTTCGGTAGGAAGAAGATGCTACAATTTTGTGGGGCATGTATGCTTTTATGCGATTTTATCATCGCTTTCTGCGATCATATAATTTATATAATAATTGCAAGATGTATTTTAACATTGTTTTTTATGGGTAGCGTATCTATTTTAGTGATTCTTGTCATTGAAATGTGTGAAAGTCATAACAGAGCAAAATTCGGATGTTTTTTCGGCTTTTTTCTTTCATTAGGAACCCTCTACAGTTACGTATTTGGTCCGATGTTTAGTGTTAGAATCTTCACATTAGTCACGAGTATACCGTTAATCGTCTGGATTATAGTCTCATTTTTTACCGTCGAGACTCCTGTATATTTATTATCAAAAAGACGTACCAAAGAATGTTTACAAGCCTTACAAAAACTCAGATCTAACAAAACTAGAAATGAAATTCAAAAAGATTTTGACGAAATAGAAGATAGTATAAAACAAAGACAAAGCTTTAAAAACGCTACGATTTTCTCACTGTTTAAAACGAAAGAGACTCGAGTGGGGATCGGATTGGCAATGATCCCTACATTAATACATTCTGGCTGCGGAGCAACCGTAATGTTGTCTTTTTTGGGGCCCATATTCAATGAGGCTGAGTCTGGCTTATCTGGAAACCTGGTTGCTATTATTGTAGGTGTATTAAAGATTTTCACAGTTTTTATTACTACAATTGTTGTTGAAAATTTTGGTAGAAGAACTCTCTTGTTATTTTCTACTTTAGGTTGTGCATTATCGCAATTGGTTATTGGTTTGTTCTTTTATTTTAAATATATTGACTCGCCAATTACACCATATATTAAGCTGTTTCCAGTTATAGCAGTTGTTGCTTATTTTATTTTCTATTGTATCGGATTAGGTCCTCTACCACCTACAATAAATAGCGAACTATTTACATCCGAGTTCAGATCTGTAGCTATATCCATTTTGATAACCGAGTTAAATATTCTCATGTTCTTGTTGACCGCTGCATTTCCGCTTTTGGCCAGATATGTTGGATTACATTGGAGCTTTTGGTTCTTTAGCTTATTTTGTTTCATTGGAGGTGCCGTTATATATGTTATGTTACCGGAAACGAGCGGTAAGAGTATTGAGGAAATTCAAGAAGATTTGAAAAATTATAAATTCAGTTTTAAGTCACGTGACACATTTAGATATAATAAATAAAGAATGGTATATAAATTCAACAAATGTTTTTTTTTTTTAATATTTTATTATTGAAAAGTATAAAGTATGTTTCTTATAGGTGATTTGTTATAAACTGAAGACTTTAATTTGTGTTACCCAAGGGCGTGCCGTCCATGGGTGCAATGCACACAGGTGGCCAAAATTTAGGGCGGCCATAGGCCGCCACAGCAATGGTCCCTTCTTGCCGAAGGCGCGCACCGACTAACTGGCAAAAAAGTAAGGCGGTAGCTTTATTGTAATGAAAATGTCTACTGTTTTAAAATGTGGCTCGTGGATCTTAACAAACAAGGGGCGGCAACTGGCCACGGCAAGATATGACGATTTAATTACCCACTTCACTTATCCACAAACCACAAACGACCGGCCGGCGGTAGTCGGTAGTAATGATCCAAGTTAAAAACAGGCAACTGCCGAGTGCTAACGCTTTGATAGCGTTCGTTAGGCGGCCGCATCAAATGGTGCGGTGGACAAAATATGAGAAAATTATTATTTTTTATCATTTCAAAATGGTAATGTTTACTTTGTCGGCTACCCCTACCTACATTAAAAATAATATAAAAGAAAAGGTTCATCAAAATGCATCTGCATTACTATTGTTTTCTTCATTTCAATAACATAAATAATATTTATTTACTTAACTGATTTGATTTCTATTTCTGATTTTAATTTGATTGATAATTGATAACTGATATTGTATTTGTATTTGTAATGCGATCGTGAAAAAAGAAAACTGTGCCTATAAAAGATGGTAAGTAATTGTAAGTAATTGTAATTAATTAGTATTATTAGCAAATTTATTTATATTCTATTTTCATTTTTGTTATTTATTCAGTGAAATTTAATATAATAACTAACCATTCTTAAGATTTTTTATTTTTGATTTTTGGCATAATAAATATTATTGAAAATTGAAACTAAATTTAATTTCAAACAAATTAATAATCAATTTAGTGTAGGTAGGTATAATAATTCCTATATAAATTTTTATTTTGACTGAGGAATACAGGAATAATAGATTAATAGATATTTATGTATGTGTGTTTATTATATTCGCATGTTAGAAACAAATACTTTTAACTTTTACTTTTAATTTTATAAAAATATTGGCATAAACAATTTCAATAGTAGAATAGTATTTTTTAATATAATCATTATTTAAACTATACATATCTATCTTAATATGGTATACATGTGACTTAACACTACGTTTTAAAATTATTTTGAAATATACAGGGTGTTCCAGAAAAGTGTGCCTCTTCAAAGTTGCTATTTTTTAAATGAAACACCCTATATATTTTTGTAATTTTGAATTCTCATTGAAGAACTGATGAGCTGATTTCGCAGATACCACATACTTGCGGTCTAAATTAAATATTTACAGAAATAGGGTGTTAAAATCATCTATTTCACTTTCCTGGCCTCTCTTGCGAAACGTCAGCAAAACGGTGAACAATAGAGAACTAGAAAATGTTAATTTTTTCGGGCTGTAAAAATAATTTCTTTCTTCAGCACCGTAAACGTCGACCAGAAAGGGAACAAAATAATCTAATATAGTTTAGGAGCCCACTGCAAAATGTTGGGTCGATCACTAGTATGGCTAAATTTTCATGAAAACGTCGGGTAATATATTGTACAATAGTAATTCGTCGGCAGCCGTCCCAATATCGTTTGCGTTTTACGTTATAAAAAATTATTAACAATTAAAAATATGTGCCACCCTCCACCCATCGCTTTTTTGCCAAATTTTCTACTTAATCGATAGATAGTAGTTAAATATAATTTTCTATACCCGGCTGCCGGCCATCATCCTTTGCGTTAAGGGTGGCTGATGGGGCCGAAAAGTACTATATCGATGTTGCTTTTATACATTCATCGCTTTTATAGTCAAACAAAATACCGTTGGAAAGGTCGCAAAATTTCCAACAAGAAAATACCCGGCTGCCGCGCGAAAGCGTTTGCATAACTTAGGCTGCCGCGATTTTGTGCGCGCGCAAGATTCGATCACGTATGAAATCAGCGTTTTAGATAAATTACATGTTAAAATCAAAATGTCATTGTAGAAGTTTATATTTTTTAAATTTGACTTTTGAGACAAAAAATCAACCTAAATTTGAAATCTAAACAAAAATTAAACACACTAATCACTTTCATATTCACGCTATAATAAAAAAAGGATAAATTAATCTTGTCTTCACAGAACACCTACTTTCTGGCATGGAACAAACATCTCATTCACATCTCATTTCAAATCGAGATGTAAAAAAATGTAATCTGGACAGCTACATCTGGGATAAACAAATGCAGATGTAGATGTAGTAGGTAGATGTTTCCGATGTGGATAAACAAACGCTCGAGATGTTAAAAATGTATCGCATGTGGATATTCAAACCCGGCAATAATCCTATTTTTTTATGGCCTGCACATTACTTGAATTCAACAATAGAGACAGTTTACGGTAAAGCCAGACATATTATTTTCTTGTTAAAAACGTACAAGTTTTAAAAAACAAATGCTCATCGAACGCCAGTCACGGATATAGATTTCAAAAACTACTCGCTTTTGAACCACACACTTTCGAAAAAGGTTCGTTTTTTAGAGATTGTCGAGGATAGCCGCCCTGGTTTTTTTGTATGCAAAAATGACGGTAACTTCTTGAAATGCAGCGACGAAACTTAAAAAAAAACCATTGTACTAGAATTTCGCAAAGAAAAAAATTTAAATACGGAAATTTGTTGTCTAAACCAATATGACGCCGAATATCAAAGAAAATAACAACTTTGAACCCAAAATACCGAGATGAACTTAAACTTGAAAATATTAATTTGCAAGCAACTGTACGTATTGACTTTTTATGTGATTATAAATCTATCTACTGCATTCAATGCAGATTAAATGAAACAAATAAAAATTAAGTGGTTGTGGAATTGCCCGTAAGAAAATAATTGTATTTCGAAAGAAATGAGTATTTATCAACGAGAACAAAATTATCGAGCAATATGACAACGGTGTCTATTCCGGTGTCGGGACAGATGCGCCCTCGTACATTTGAGCTCCCGATACATTTCAGCCCCTGTCTTGATTTTTCGAATAATGATAAAATTTAAGTGAGACAGTTGCGACCCTACCCCTATTAATCCCAAACAGAAGTCGAATGATGAAAGTAGATTTTTTGGTTTACTGATATATACAGGGTGTTTCAGAGTTATGAGTATATACATTAACTGTAAGTGTAAGACACTTGGATGATTCGAAATCACCCATTAATAATATCACGTCTCATTACCTAGAATGAATTTATAAATTTCTCCTGGATTTTTATTTCATCTTGTCTTTTTAATATTTTCTAAACAGAATAAATAAATGTTTGAAATAAAGTAAAAAGTAATTGTTGCTAGGCAACACATTACAGTATCTGATACTGTTAAGTTCCATTTCCCGGAGCAAATGAGAAATATATTTATTAGTAATACTGATATTTAATTGTGAAAAAGCAACAATTATCTTTAAAAGAAACTGTAAGTAGATTTGCTGGACAGAATGAAATAAAAATTTTTGTTTGGTTTCCTGACATTATATAACTTCCCTTCATACTTTTTATAGGCTGAGAACTGTCAACATAGATATGCCGCCGTGTTTATAAATATATATCCAGTGGATATTGTCAGTTTTTTTTTTAATTTTTTTTAATATTTTATTTTATTTTTTTTTAATTTTTTTAATAGCTTGTTTAAATAAATATAATTAGGGTTACTTTAAATCTTTTGATAGATTATGTAATAATACTAATACCCATGATTGATTTTAATGTTACCAAGAATATAAAAAGCTATTACTTGATTTAATCCTTTTAATGAGTAAATATATAGTATATAAAATGTTGACAAAATGTGGAAATGTTTAGTTGCATTTAGTATTTGTGCAAGGTGTGACACATTTCAATTTTGAACTCATTTACTTCCGGGAAATGGAACATAACAGTATCAGATACTTTAATGTGTTGCCTAGCAACCTAATTTTTATTTTAGAAACAATTATTTTTTACTTTATTTCAAACAGAAATATTTCTATCTTACCTATTTGACAGTAAATAGCAATCATGCTTAACTATGGAAACAATGGTTCAATTGCAGTTAAGGTAATATAAAATGTAAAATTGCTAACTATTTTTTTTTAATTTTAATTAACATCTATTTATTCTTTTTAAAAAGTATTATAAAGGCAGGATGAAATAAAAATCCAGGCGAAATTAATAAACTTATTATTAATAGGTGATTTCAAATCATCCAAGTGTGTTACACTTACAGTTAACGTATGTACTTTTAACTCTGAAACACCCTGTATATATCAGTAAACCAAAAAATCTACTTCTGTTTGGGATTAATAGGGGTAGGGTCGCAACTATCTCACTTAAATTTGATCATTATTCGAATAATCAAGACAGGGGCTCAAATGTATCGGGGGAACAAATGTACGGGGGATCATCTGTCCCGGATTCTCTATTCCGATATCAATTACTCAGAAAACGATTATTCTGAGGAATTTAGTGTATATTCTTAAACTACTTTTTTCACATTTTGTTAACTTTAACGATGTATACTTTTATAAATTGCAAAAAACAAAATTAGGATTTCTCTATTTATTTACCTCTCTTGAACATTAATAACTTTCTCTGCTTTAGATATATAGGGACGTTTTAAGCATAACTAAAAATAAAAACAATAAAAAAAACAACACATAAACCATATATTTATAAAAACAACAGAATAACAAATATTTAAAGAATACATGAAAGCGAGACGCTCTAGCTTTAATCGTAAACTCGCGTGTTCCAATCAGAGACAATAACAGATGTCAAATAAACGTCAGCTGTGCGCACACTCCCAAACTCCTTATCTAAAGTGCGGATTTCATACGTGATCGAATCTTGCGCGCACACAAAATCGCGGCAGCCTAAGTTATGCAAACGCTTTTGCGCGGCTGCCGGGTATTTTCTTCTTGGAAATTTTGCGACTTTTGCAACGGAATTTAGTTTGGCTATAAAAGCGATGAGTGTATAAAAGCAACATCGATATAGTACTTTTGAGCCCCATCAGCCACCCTTAACGCAAAGGATGATGGTCGGCAGCCGGGTATAGAAAATTATATTTAATTACTATCTATCGATTAAGTAGACAATTTGGCAAAAAAGCGATGGGTGGAGGGTGGCACATATTTTCAATTGTTAATATTTTTTTATAACGTAAAACGCAAACGATATTGGGGCGGCTGCCGACGGATTACTATTGTACAATATATTACTCGACGTTTTTATGAAAATTTAGCCATACTAGTGATCGACCCAACATTTTGCAGTGAGCTCCTAAACTAATAGAAGTCTAATATGATTTCTACCTTAGTTATTCAGTTTTACCTACTAATTTTAATTTGAAGCTCCATAAAGCTCTAACTTTTATTGTATGTTCTTTTGTATATAGATAAGTTTATTCTAAGCCATAATACTATAGAAAGAAAGTGTAATCAGGGCCGCCGAGAGCCAGGTCGGGCCCCAGGACAATTCTCCAGATCGGGCCCCACGACAATTTTATAAAAAAAATTTAAACAACCCGGGCCCTGGGAATTAGTCCCGGCTACCCCCCCCCCCCCCTCTTGTCGACCCTGGGTACAATATTACGCAGATTGATACTATACGTCACCATAACGTATTGTGGTGGCAGGTGTGGCTTTTAAGAATTTGAGATTTTGAAAAAACTCACGAAAATGAATTTTAATCTGTTCATGGCCAATCAGATAATCATATTTCACACTACAATACGTCATGTGCAAACTTGATGAAATTTCGTTGGCTAAGTATCTGGTATAATTTATTATCTATCTTTTTGATACACCCTATATACTTTATTAGTTTATTGTAGGAATTGCAAAAGAGAATGTTTCAAAATTCCTAACGATTATTATACGTATTATTAAAAAACATAAATGATAATATAATTTACACAAATTTTATTAGCACCTTCTGTATGTTATAAAATATATTGTCTCTTTATCTTTATGAAAAAAATGTTGATTAGTTGATTCAGCGAAATGTAGATGCCCTTATATTACAACAAAAACTGTTGGAACTCGATATGGTCGTGATGAAGAAACAAAGTGGCCCTCCTGGACTACAAGAAGTTACATATGTGACTAACAAAGAAGGGGAATTTAAACTACAAGCTGCAGACAAGAAACGGGATAGTTTATTTCTTCATTTTTCAGTAATATCCGGTAAGTATTATGTTATTATATAGTTTTGTTTTTTGAGTACCTAGTGTCAAATAATGATATATTATTCAATAAGCTTTTAATGATGGCTCTTTAAATGCTCGCAAGCAATTTGTAATAATTATGTTTTCGTTTTTAAATTTTGTGTGATTGAGAACTGTATGTATAGGGACATAAGTATTTTGAAACTAATGCAGAGTTTTTGAAAACACTTTTATTGATTAAAATAACATCTTCCTAACATAAAAATTATCATAAAAGGTTAAAAGTACAAGATGAGCATTGAAGTATACTATGATAATAATATAATATGTTGCTGAAACTCTTCCGTCCCTATGACCCAAAAATAAGGGAGTAATTTATGCAATCTGAATTTTCTGGAATTTTCTCCACATTGACGGGTTTCTCTTCATTGGATTTTGAATTTTGGCTTCCTGTTTTCATAAAATTGTATAAAAAATAAACAACATATTATATCTGTTGAAATAAGACACGTTTTTGTTATAAATACATAAGCGTAGATTAAATATTATTATCTACCCCTAATAAAACCCCATAAAATATACGTTTTAAAATAATTCCTATGTCGTTAATTCTATTCTACTTGTTCTGAAGTTTACTATATTTTAATCTTTACTACTCCTAATCTAACTGTTGAATTTGGACTTTTACAGATATGAATGATACTCTGCCTTGCCTATTTACTTTATATACATATTTATACCACCTGTTGGTGGTGTTATTTTCTCCTTACTATTATTTCAGCGGCGTTGCTCCTCGGTAGAGCGGCGTTACTCCTATATTCTTCACTAGTGGACATCTTGTTCGGACATTAAAAGGCGTTATTTGGGGCTGGTCGGAAACTACATCGACCCATGTGTCTCTAAATTCCCTTTCATTTGTAGTAGCGCTCTATGTGGCTCCCTCTCATCTGGTTATTTCTATCATGGACACTGCTTGGGGGTCAATCGGAAATATACCTTAATCGATTGTCCCCAAACTTTCTTCTTTTACAATATTCACCATATCACAATATTAATATATTTACTCACTTTATATACCAATATTTAAGTACTCTGCCTCTTTTGGGCAGTTTAAACCTCTTTAAATCATCTAAAGATGCGCTTATGTGGACATCTTATACTTTTGTCCGTCTTTTCTTCTATTCCTGCATGTAGAAAACGTACTTTCTTCCGAAACTCTTTTGCTGTTGGCTTGGTAAGCATTATTAATCTTTAACACTATATATCTGTATAAATATTTATAAACAATTTTTATCAACACACAATTTAAACCATAAAAACTATATACTTATTCCTGAATTTTTTTTTAAAGTAGATGCGCGTGCGAACGAGCTCTAACAATTTTTAACAAAAAATATGTACATCACTGTTTCTTTTTTTGATATCACAACTAGTTAGATATTTAAATTACTACAAGGATTTCATTTCAAAACTAGCCACCTAAAATAACTTTTAAAATATCTTTAAAACAAAAAAACACGTTAATTTATATTTACGGGGAGACACATTTTACAAGTATCCTCCTACAGGGGCTAACACTTTACGCGGAAAGGAGATCCCAATCTGATATAAAGATACAATATAAAGAGGCAATGCTCCAGTCAAAATAAACATGTAATCCGATCATTATTCATTTCCCTAAATCCTACTTAGACCTACCGTATAACGAACTTTTTTTGTAATGAAATAATGTATGGCTCTGTATGTGAACTAATAAGATTTTTTTGATAAACAACTCCAAAGTTAAAAGGCAATTATTTTCTATTTTTTGCCAACAATTTCAACATTTTGTTGATTTTTTCACCTTAAATATTCAACCGCAATCACCCTGTAACTAGGAAATAATTTTGGCTGTCCTCAAATAGTACAAGGGGTATATTTTTAATCCAACACAGTGTGTTAAATTATCCAATATACAGTATATCTCTGAAACATATCTACTTATGTCAGTATATTTTTTTTGTTTAAAATTTATATATTTGGTACATATTAGGTTATATTTGGAAAACTAGTCATAGGATGTAATTTTACCAATAAGAATTTTGAACGAGTACACCGAGTACTATACGATATCAAATATTAAGAAACTTTGACGGTGATATTTTTTTTTTTTTGGTATTTCAGCTATTTTTGTTCGGTGGAAATACCTAGTTTGACCAAAATAGATTTGCCGAATCATAATATTTTAATTATAGTAGTTAAGTATGTATTTTGACTATACAAAATGAGCAAATAACTTCCAAATATATTTAAGGATGATTTATAGTGTCCATTTTAAAAAATTAGGGATTTCTAACTGGGCCCCCATTTAAGTCCGGGCCCCGGGAATTAGTCCCGGCTACCCCCCCCCCCCCCCTCTAGTCGGACCTGCATACATGTATAGTCAAGTAGTAAGTATATAGGTAGTTAATCAAATTCTTCTATGTAGGATAAAGTGTGTAAACATTTTCCTACATTACCTACATTTTTATTATTATTATAAACAAAAATTAAATTATTGTCGTAAAATATTGTCCCCATTTTTTTAAACCCTCTATTTATTAAATAATCTATTTGTTCTTAATTAGTATTATCTTAAAAATAGAAAAATCACTTGGAATGTTTTGTGCAAATAAAAATTAATGTTTTTATAAATTATATGACGTTACACCAAGTGACGTAAAGTTAAATTATAAAAATAACTCAAACAAAACTTAAATTAAGTCATATAAAACTTAACTATTTTGTTTTTGTTTAAATAAAACATTTTTGTTACATTTCCAACTCTTTTATCTAGTTTTTTAATTTAGATATTTTGTGATATATTCGCAAATGAATATATTTATTTAAAATTAACTTTACAATATCTAAACAATGATTATCAAAACAATGGTTTTTAAATGTGTCAAATATTGAAAGAAATAAATACGTTAGTGTGGTCAATAAAAAATGGCTTGGTGGATAATTAAACCATTAAACATTTGTCAGCTTTTTTATAAATATTTGTAACAAACTTAATCAGTGAATCATATCTAACAGTTTGATAAAATTGTAGCTCCTAAACGGTGCTTTTTATTATACAGGGATTTCATTTCAAAACTAGCCACCCAAAATAACTTTTAAAATGTCTTTAAAACAAAAAAATAATTTAATTTATATTTATGGGGGGACACATTTTACAAGTATCTGTAACCGTGCAGTTTCATCCCCTAAGCGGTGGTGAATATCACTTCTAAAATTTTAAATAGAAAGGGGTATCATGTGATAGCTCCTCTTAAAGGTCTCTTTTTTCCAATCTTTTGACACATTATTTTTTTAAATCGGATTAATTTTTCACCAAGTTATAACCTAGAAACCGGAAAAAATTAAAAATATTAAATTAAAATGCAGGAGTATAAATACCGAGATAAACAAGTTAGCAAAAAGCCCTAAATGTTTTTTGCGTAAGATATTTTTGACCGTAAATTAAAACAATTTATTATTAGTAGATTATTGGTTTCGTTGTGTACTGACAATTTAATTCTAAATTTTAACGGTACATCGTACCTATTAGACAGTGGACAAATGACACATAGACAGACTGACACATGACATAGGCGTAAGGAGGGAGTATTCGACATTGGTTCTGGAGTTAACCGATCCATGTGATATATACTTATTCAAAAATGATACAATGGTTGAAAAGTTGGAAAGGGTATAATAAGTTTCTGCAGGACATGATCCACACAGCGGTCCAGAGAGACTTATTATAATGATTTGGGGGAACTATTGTAGCTTCAAATTTTTAGAGTAGAGGAAGGGCAATGACTCTAGATCCATACTAGGCCAGAGAACTTGAAGGTGATAGACGTGACTAGACCATGATCCATACATGGCTATTAGTCGAAGAGTGAAGGGTAAATGATAAAAAAGATAAGAATAGAGAGAGAATTTTACCGAAAAGTGAAAGGGGTATAGAAAAGACAAATTACTACCTAGATCCATACTATGCGGTAACAAAGATAGTACAAAAACACGTTTTTCGCCTTTTACGATACAGCTGTGTGCTGGGTTACCTATTCTATAACCGAGTTACCACGGTGAATTGGAATAAGTGTAGTCCAGGTTAGGGTCAGACTCCATAACCAATAGCGGGTCCTCCTGATTAGTTACCTAGTGAATTTAACAATTATGAAATTTAGAAATAAGTGAAAAGTGAATTAATTACAATTTAAAGATGTTAATAAGTTAGGGGTTTATGATTATTAATGAATTTAATATTTTAATTGAAATGGTGGGATCCCCAGAGGGCTTTAAATAATGGATTATAATTACAATTTAGGTGAATTTGAGTGTTTAAACAATGATCGGGATTCAAGTTCATTTCACGAAGGATATCCAAATTCTCCAGAAGGTCCATCTTCCTAAAGTTGTTGACTGCAACACTATGTAAAATTTTGCTGTTTGATGTAGGAGAGAAGCTATGATTATAAAATTTAATGTGATGTCCAAAATTAGATTTTTCAGGTCTCGATAAGTGTTTCTTGATGCGTGTCTCTAGAGGTAGAACCCATAGATATATAACCAAGACAGATAGGATTATTTACAAAAATTTTGAAGAATGAACGATGGTGTCCGCGGTAGAAACTCAATAATCGGATTGAACATTGATGCCAAGTTTACGTGCTTTTAACTATAGGTATATATATAACCAATACAGATTACACAATTTCTGAAGTCAACGCGGATGATCCTCGACAGAAATGCAATATTTGGATAAAATTAAAATATTGATGCCAAGTTTGCGATGTTTTTAACTGTAATAATGTTATTGCGTTTGCTTGAATTACTGTTAGGTCCTTAAATTGTCCAAAAAAAAATAATGTCTAACAACAGCGGAAGTAGAGTAAACCGCAATTGTGGAGGGTCGTATATTGTTTCATTCATAAAAATTCCTTCGATACAGTACTAGTCCAGGAGTCAGTGAATTTTTTCGTACTTGTTTTCCCGGTCCGTGTATATTTAAATAATCTATTCCCGGTGAACTGTATATTTAAAATGGAACGCCAATCTATTAACAAAAGTAAGCCAGATTGAATTCGCGCATTACGTCACATCGATACAAGTGAGATTGTTTACAAAGTGCTTTTGCAGGCCTATTTTGCCCATTTCATGTATTTGTTTTTAAATCATGTTAAATTACTATTTTTGAAACTCAACAAGGAGAAAATCCAATTAACTCTTCCGTTGTGTATATATATAAGATAAATCAACTGATGTTTTATTAGTAAAGTATTAATACTAAAATTTTAATATAATTTACAGAAAATAGCTAGGTATGTATTTGTTTTTAAATAATTTGATAATTTATGAAAAAAGGGATTAAAAGTGGAATGACCAGTGGCCAGTAGGTCAGTCAATACAAAGTATCATATATTTCTATTATAACAAAACTAAAATACCTACATCTTTTAATCATAAGGACATAAGTTAAAAACCATTTTAATATATGCATTAGAATGAAGTAATAATAACTTAAAGAGACGAGGTCTTAAAGTAATAGCTGGTACAGCATGTTTTTTAAACGTTTCCTCATTGATGCTAGAATGAAATCACTTAGTATTAGGATCTCTTCCTAAAGCCCTCATCCAAGCTTGTACGTATTAAAAAGAAGGTTCTTCAGATTAAGGGTGAAATGATACGACATTCAGATACACACAAGCAAATGTTATCAACTTTTAATGATAAAATAACCTCAAAAATGCATACAATATTACCCCTGGCCAGGTACTTACGTGACAAGTCAACAAAGAACACCAAAACAAACTAATATTAACTCAACAATATTCTTAAAACTAATATTAATTGTTAATTTTCTAAACAAGGTTTTAGTTTTACACGAAACGAAACGAAAATCGACATAACCAAAAGAAAAGCCAACCTAAGCCGGTCACCGTCACCAACCAGTCTCGATCTCGCACACGCGCACATCCACTCCCTTCCAATTCCAAGGTGTAGGCAAACTGCACCTAAACGCGGTGTAGGGTGGTCTGCACAAGCTGCATACATATTAAAAAAAAAAAAAAAACATATTATATACCTATATAGTTTTCGGTTCTGGGTGCCCTAAAAGAGGAAACTTAGCCGACAATTTGGCTCAGATAGCTAAAACCCAAAAGTCAAACCATGAACCAGGACGTATTGCTATCCTTTTAAGTAAAAAATAACTACAAACAACTTACCTGAAAAATGAAGGCGTCTAACTTTACACCAAAAAAACCATACACTTTTTCCCATTGTTGCAAGCACCCGATGACGATTAGGAAGATATCAACTAGAAGCATGTACTTAATGGTTATAAAGCTTATTTTAACACAAAAAGAATAAAGCACTAGTCGAAAAGCAGCAATCAAATATAAATAGACCACAATATTAAAATTCAAATTAAAAACTATATAAAAGACAAATACTCCAAAAGCGCAAAAGATCAGAACCAAATAAAATGAATAACCATAATAACCTAAAAATCGCACTAAAATTGCAAAAACTATTACTGTAAAATCATGAGATTACATCAATAATGCATATGCGTCGGAGTATCGCAAATGTCAAAAGTACAGTGTTTCCATGAAAATTTAGCTATGTTTTTAGCAGTATTATAGGACCATTTCTACCACGCGCATCCAACGATATTGGCGTTCCACAGTTCACTGTATTTTCCTCACACCTCTAGTATAAATGATTTGACATAACGAAACTAACAATAATTATAATTAATAAGTGATTCGTGAATTCTAAATAAAACAATTATTATATAAAAGTGTAAAAGGAATTGTAATTTATTTTCCTATTTTCTTCTGTAATATCTTCAATTATTATGTTTAATTTCTTTAAATAAACCAACTGGTTAGGTGAAACATTGTTATATAAGATTTTATTTATGTGTCCTATGCGTACACTTTAATATACACCTGGAACATTCTTTAAATAATTGTGGTCGTAGAAATAATTGTGTACATAACTCGTTTGAAAGTGTATTTTATGCACTTGCCAAATATATTATCCATACAGATTAATCAGACTATTTTTTTACTTAACTTCAGTACATCTCTTACTACTAAAACTATTTTTATCAATGGAAAAAAAGGGCCGTGTTCTCGTATGTTTTGACGCATTTTCGGCCTCAGCACATCGGATCCCCCCTCTAAATATATATGAATTTTGCTTAGAATTGCTAATCCTACAATTCTCTATTCGTGCTTGCTGACTGGGAAAATAAATATCGAAAATTGTCACTGTCTCCTGGACTATACAATAGATGATGATGAGAACTTCACAACAAATTCACTTTTATGAATGGCTAGTTGGGGATGTGGTAAAACCTCTAGAGACACGCATCAAGGAACACTTATCGAGACCTGAAAAATCTAATTTTGGGTAATCACAATAATTAACGAATTTTCTTTAATTTCATCAGTTTGAGGTATATTTGTAGGCTCATTAAACTCTTTATAACCGATTTTTTTAATGGGTTGAAATAAATTTTTGAAGTATTTAATTTGGACTTATGAATACTTTTGGAGTACACAAATATTTTCAAATCTTATTTTGTAACATTGTAATGATTTGTATTGTTGATGCTTGATGATATGCTGTTATTTTAATCAATTTTCATGCTAAGAATAAAAAAGCAAACTGATTTTTTGCTTTCATTAAAAATATTAACTTGTTCCTCAATCACAATTTCTTAAAAATCTTATCTACTTGCTTCAAAATTATTTTTTTATTTTTTTTTTTTCAGTATGTTTAGTTATTATGAGTGGCGCTTCATCTCTAGCATGGCCATCCCCAGTGATACCAAAATTAAAATCAAACGATACAAGTATCAATCCATTGAAAGAACCAGCGACCACGTTGCAGATATCTATGATGATGGGATTACCGACTTTGGCTAGTCTTTTTGGAACCCTTCTAGCTCCGTTCTTGTCTGATATGTTCGGTAGGAAGAGGATGTTACAATTATCTGGAGCGTGTATGCTTTTATGCGATGTTGTCATCGCTTTCTGCAATAATATAATTTATATAATAATCGCAAGATGTATTTTCATGTCGTTTTTTATGGGTAACATGTCTATTTTAATGATTTTTGTTATAGAATTGTGCGAAAATCATAACAGAGCCAAATTCGGTTGTTTTTTTGGCTTTTTTCTTCCATTAGGAAGCCTGTATAGTTATGTATTTGGTCCTATGTTTAGTGTTAGAATTTTCACGTTAGTCACAAGTATACCTTTAATCTTCTTTGTTATATTCTCATTTTTTATTGTTGAGACTCCGGTATATTTATTAACAAAAGGACGATTTAAAGAAAGTTTACAGTCCTTACGAAAACTCAGATCTAACAAAACTAGTAATGAAATACAAAAAGATTTTGAAGAAATAGAATTTAGTTTGAAACAAAGACAAAGCGTTAAAAACGCTACGATTTCCTCACTGTTTAAAACGAAAGAGAGTCGAGTGGGGGTAGGAGTGGCAATGATCCCTACATTAGTACATTGTGGCTGCGGAGCAACGGTAGTGGCGTCATTTTTAGGGCCCATATTTAACGAGGCGGACACTGGCTTATCTGGAAATATGGTAGCTATTATTGTAGGTATATTAAAGATTTGCACCGTTTTTATTACTACAATGGTTGTTGAAAATTTTGGTAGAAGAACTCTTTTAATATTATCTTCATTAGGTTGTGCAATATCGCAATTGGTTATTGGTTGGTTCTTCTACCTCAAATACATCGACTCGCCAATTATACCATATATTAAGCTATCACCAGTTATAGCAGTAATGGTTTATTTTATTTTTTTTAATATCGGATTGGGTCCTCTGCCACCTACAATAAGTAGCGAACTCTTTACATCTGAGTTCAGATCTGTAGCTATATCGATTATAGTAACCGTGTTGAGTCTTATTCTTTTCTTGTTAACCTCTGGATTTCCACTATTGGCCAGATATGCTGGAATACATTGGAGCTTTTGGTTTTTTAGCTTATTTTGTTGTATTGGAGCTGCCGTCATATATGTTACGTTACCGGAAACGAGAGGTAAAAGTATTGTGGAAATTCAAGAAGAATTAAAAAATTATAAATTTAGTTTTAAGTCACGTGACACATTTAAATCTAATAAATAAAGAATGGAATTTTAATTCATTAATTGTTTTTTTTTTATTTTATTTTTAGATGGCAGAAGCGGAACTGATCTTTTACTGGATAGAGTTTAGTTAAACTTTGGCAGCGTATAGTAAAATGTTTAATGAAAAGAAAGAATCCTAAATACATTAGCTACAAATTAGTACAATTAATGATCGAAATAAGTATCCCAATCAGAACAAAATTAATTAAAATTTGAGTACATTAGCCTTATAGGCGAATTTCTTCCTAAGTTCGTTCGAATACTTGCTGAATAAATGTTTTATGATATCTAATGGCTGTTTGAGGAATATTAAAATTTATTTGATTTATCACAAATAGTACATCAATAGTGTTATGTAATAATTTCTAAAGAAATTTCACACTGGAAACTACCCTTCTATTTTTGAAAGAAGCAGAGATTGTTCACTACCTCGAATAGGATAAAGCTCATCTATTTTAAAAGAAAGGTATTTGAGAAATCGCCGCTGAACATGTTCCAATGATCTTTTATGAATATTGTAAATAAGGTTCCAGATAAGAGATGCATATTCTAGCTTGGAACAAACTAAAGAAAAGTAAAGGATCTCCAAGCTTTGAGAGTTTGTAAAAGAACGAGTATTACGAATTAAGAACCCTAAGCTTTTCTACGCAGAAGCAACGGTATTTTCAATATAATCTGAAAAAGTAACTGTTTTGGTTGAATAATATACCTCAATTTTCAATTTGTACTAAAGTCGATAAAGGTAGGCCGTTAAATAAATAATCAAACTCCATCTTGTTAATACTTCTAGTATAGGAACATACTTTACATTTAGGCACATTCATAAACAGCTTGTTTTCATTACACCAATTTTCAACGATGCCCAGTTGGGTCTGTAAAAAGTGACAGTCTTGAATTGATGAGATTAAGTCAGCAACGAACAGCAGGTGACATGTTGAGATGTTAAGTTTATTGCCAAGTCATTTATAAATATACTAAATAATAGTGGCCTCGGCCTTAGATTGGAGCTCTGTGGAACTCCAGATGTTGCTGTGAGGGGTGAAGATGAAAATCCGTTGTAAAAGTCAATTAATACGATGATTTAGGTAAGATGAAAATAATTTCAACAGCGACTGATCAAACCCTAAGCTTTCCAACTTCCTTACAAGAATATTATGATTTATAGATATTACAAAATACATTATGGGCAGGTTGTACAAAAAAGTTTCTAAACTCATTTTAACTAACAAGAGTTTTATTTTTAACTAGTTATATTCAAAAACAAATGTCATTTTTAAAACTATGTTTAACAATAACCGATGAGTATACGATAAGGTTCACAGTTTAAACTAAGTCTACATTTTAACTGCCTATTGTACAACCCGCCATATGTACAATTAAATATTAATTGTATTTCTTTAAAATGTTTTTGATTTTGTTGATCAAAACCATTCGATAAAAATATTAAAAAGTATGGGTATAAAAGTGGTTTTTTATATCTATGCTATAAAGCATGCGTTGAAGTAGTATGTAGATTATCTAAGTAACAGGTCAGAGAGGTTAAAATTAAATAACATTATGCAGTAGGATTCTCATCTTTCAGTACGTCTCCTATCGAGACTCCTATATTCGTTCGACAGACAACGATTTTAATGTAATGTCTCTCTCTATTCTGTATATAATGTGTCGAGTTCGCGCAAAAGAATCGCTATCCTGATCAGAAGAAATTAACCACATCAAAGAAAGAAAAATAGATCCCCTGTTATTTTTAATTTATATTAATGATTGTTGATGTCGCAATACTCAATATGACATTTACCGCCAGAAAAGAGAAACTGAAACAGTTAAAAAAGCAGTTAATTGGACAACAATCAATATTTTTAAGAACAGTTGACAAAAATAATGCTGCAACTGAAGCATCGTACCGTGTGTCCCAGATAATTTCACAAAAAAAGAAACTTTATGAAGACGGGAAATGATAAAACAGGCGTTTTTAGAAGCTGCTGATTCGTTATTTGCCAACTTTAGAAATAAAGACAAAATAGTTTCAGCTATAAAATCTATGCAAATTTCTGCTAATACAGCGATGAGACGTGTAGAAGTAATGAGCAATGATATTTTTTACAGTTAAGAACTGACTTAGATCACTGTGTTTATTTTTCACTTCAACTGGATGAATCAACAGATGTCGTTGACACTGCCCAGATGGACGTGTTCGTCAGGATGGTTTTTAGTGATTTTACGATTAAAGAAGATCTTTTTAAGTTTATTCCACTGAAAGGACACACTACTGGACAGGAGTTGTTTTCTCATTTAAAAAATATTATTTCTTCCGAGAAAATTCCAATATCGAAAATGGTAGGCTTGACAACCGATGGCGCTCCAGCTATGGTGGGTTGTGATAAGGGTCTGGTGGCGTTATGTCGTAAAGATAAAACATTTCTGCAATTTCCCTGTTACCACTGCATTATCCATCAGCAAGCATTATGTGGAAATTTCCTGAAACTAAACAACGTTATGAAACTGGTGGTAAAAATTGTGAACAAGATTAGAGCTCAAGCGTTACAAAGAAGATTATTCAAAACCTTGGCCGATGAAGTTGACTGACAATATGGGGACCTACTCCTTCACTCTGAAGTCCGATGGTTAAGTAGAGGATCTGGCATAGTTCAATTTTTCAAACAACGCGATGAACCGACTCCGGAACTAGAAAATTCAATCTGGCTTAGATATTTTGGTTTTCTCGTGGACATTACAGAGAAATTAAAAAAACTTTATTTTGCAGCTTCAGGGGAGAAACAAAGAACTAGCGGAAATGATTTCTGATATAAAAGCATTTATTAAAAAGCTGGAGTTTTGGGAACAAAACCTAATTAACAGCGATGCCAAGCATTTTCCTATTCTTTCAGAAAAAATATCTAAAAATCCATTAGAACCCTATGACAGCAAATATCATGTAGAAATAGTTTCTACCCTGAAGAATAACTTCAAAAATCGTTTTGAGGATTTCAACAAAATGGCTTTAGTAGTGCAGTTTATTGTTTCACCCTTTATGGAAATTGATATCCAACAGTTTGCAACTTGTGTTATGCAGAACTTTGGCGAAGACATCGCTGCAACAAAAATGGAAGTAATTGAGTTTCAAAATGATTTAGCCTTAAAATCGTTAGTCTCAAGTACCAAATGTATCTGGCCTATTGTAAGTAAAGAGAAATATTCAGTTATATGCCGTGTTGCCTTGAAAGTGAAAGCATTATTCAGTTCAACCTATTTGTGTGAATCTTCTTTTTCCAATATGAAGTTTATTAAGAACAAATATCGCAATCGACTTACAGATGAACATTTGGATAATTGTATTCGAATGGCTGTATCAAATTATACTGCAAACATTAAAAAAATTATCGATGAGTCTGAGTGTCAGCCTTCTCATTGAACGTGCTTTTTTATTTTTCAATGTTTATGTTCATGATAGTGCGTTACTTTTTTAAATCTTACGTGAGATGCCGTTGTGGCTGGATAAAAGTTTGTATGTAGGAATGTAGCTATGAACAAGTACGTACTATGTAGTACCTATGTATTATATATTACCAGTTAAACAGTAAAATAAATACATATAATGATAAATTAACTGTGGATTATTTAATTATTTCATTCAAGAGATTGACGGGAACACCTGCGAGCTAGAACTATTAGTTATGGTGTACCCTAAGGTACTGTACTGGGGCCTATACTATTCACTAGGTATATATGTAAACAGTTTGCTAACATTGAATACAGAAGGAAAAATTATAAGTTCGCTGATGACACCGCCATTTTCTGTAGATCTAGTATTTAGAATGCTGTTATCCATGAGGCCGAAAATTACATGGTTTAATTATAACAAATTAACACTAAATATAGAGAAAACTAAATATATGCTATTTACATCATACTCTCCTGGACTGCCCAATTTTGGCCCTCTATTCATAGACAATAATTTAAACATTCCAGAAACAGAAAAAATTAAATATCTAGGACTAATTGTTGATCGTCATTTAAAATGGGACCTGCAAACTAAATATGTTACCCAGAAGTGAAAGGGATTTCTATCAAAATTTAAATACTTAAGAGGATTTCTAGATTTAAATCATTTGAAAATATTATATTATTAATTAATACAATACAATCAAATCTTAATTATGGAATTATTAAGTGGGAATGTAAGTTAAGGTTTACAATCAATGTCAATAACTAAAAACATCATATTAAATCTAGTAAACACTTTAAACGTATAGAGAGTAAGTTAATAATAGATATTTGTAATGGGGAACTTCAACAAATCGTTTATTACTAAAATATTGTGACAAATTATTTGTGTACATTTAAAAAAATAGACAAAAATTCTTGTCGTGTTGGTGTATCTTTTATAGTTTCCGAAATTAAAATTATTGCCTGCAGCTTGATATAAAAGCTTAGGTAGGTAGTACTAGCATGCAAATTAAAAACATTATGCGCCAATTTAAATTTTAATGCAAAATGTTTAATATGTATTTAAATGTTTGCTAACGTTTTTTTAAATGCTAAATCATTTAACCTAAGTTAAAAATGCTAAAATATTAATATCATATTATCATCCTCATTTGTATTCAAAATTGTAATATGAACCTATTCCCTTTTTGAATTAACATAAAAGTAGGCAAAAATTTTCCAATTAAAACTAAACCATTCAGTTCAGTCATTATTCCGAAACAACAGGATATTAAATATGCGTAGAAAAAATATTGTTTTATTTGGAATGCAAATTATTTTAGATATATTTTCTAATGATTTTGATGATTTGTTTTATAACTATGCACTTCTACATCTTTTTTAATGTATTTACAGGATTAAGCATCGATTGAATATCTGAAAATTAAAAATAAATGGAAAATAGGTCGATTTTTATTCAAAGACGTTTCTATTATATTCTGAAATGCCATACGTAATTTGCTTAGCGACCCGTACCTTATGGGGATGCAATATCGTTGTGACCTTTTTATAATCAGGTAGGAGACCCTTT